AGAGAGAGAGAGAGAGAGAGAGAGAGAGAGAGAGAGAAACATCTATACGCTATATCACGTGTATAAATAATTACTCCGGCGCGCAGCAATTACTATAAGTTATGGCCTAGCCGGCACAATTTGCAATGTCAAGACATAAACACTGCTACCGCTTACATTTGAATACATTAAACGGCGCAACGGGAGGAGCTGATTGGCCGACGGGGAGTGGTGCACTGGGCCCCGGTATCGGTGCGTGAGCTACGATCTGGTTGACGATTTTTATTACGGAAACGATCATCCCGCTGGCTCCGGGCACCGATGCCTTTTCTCTGCTCCACTTGCTACCTCTGCCTCCCCATACACCCTAACCCCTTTTACTATTGCGCGCACGTTGATGGATGCCCATTCCCATTCCATCCTCGATCGCTCGCTAAACTGGATTTGCGATTTCCGATCGATCTCGAAGTATTTACGACGCCACCGATCGCGATAATCTCTGCCGGCCAATTGTTTTATGACAATCGTAGGAGACTCCTGGAAGAGATGGATCGCCCGTGGCTTGCTTTCCGATTCGTTCGAGTTACTACCCGATTTGGCATTTTCCTGCCTTCGTTGGCGATCCACCGCTTCGCGGAGGTACACCGCCTTGTCTTTCGATGAGGAACGTCCGATCGAGGGTACATACGTTCACGGAGACGCGTCCGACGTGAATTTCTCCAATTAGGACACGAGCTACGAGGCTTTTTACAGCCGGGAAACAGGGTGAATAATCGCGAATGCGTTAGATCCGACGGATGCACCGGAGAAACCTGCGATACCGTGGAAACTCTACGAAGAGGCTGGCTCTAAATTTTATCTCGGTTCCAGAGATAGTCGCTGATTTATTCCGTCCACTGTCGCTACCGTAATCTACAACTTGTCAACTCGGACAACCGAAGCTGAGAATGTATAGAAAGCGTACAGGGGCACGATCCATTCTCGACCATCCTGTTCGATTCTTCAGACTCGATCCTCGATCGTAAAGATAAGCCTGCTTTGAGACTGCAATTAGTCTCCGTGGGTAATGAAATTTTAGAAGAACAGCAAGAAGAAAGAGGGACGGAGAACATCCCGGATTCCCGATACTCGTCTCAGACATGGGATTTTAGACTTGCCACGCGCATCTCGCCAGTTTTGGGTCCCAGAAAAGATATACTGGTCACGTTTACGAAATAGATGGACCTCTTTGACACCGTGACTCCCTCGAAACTTGTCTTTCGAATTAACGAAACGGGTGCAAGGGAATGCACTTTTGTCAGAACATCTCGAATTTGCGAATCTCGCAAATTTGGAGACCCAGGAAAGATGCATCGATCGCGTCTACGAAATATCTAGACCTCTTTGACACCTAGACTTCTACGAAACTTGCCTGGATTAACGAAGCGTGTGCAAAAAGACGTTGCACATTTGCCAGAACATCTTGGATTCCTGATTTCAGACTTTCACGCGCATCTCGCAAGTTTGGGGGCCCAGAAAAGATACCCCGATCAAGTGTACGAAATATCTAGACGTTTTTGACACCTATATTCCCTGGAAACTTGCCTGGATTAACGAAGCGGGTGCAAAAGAACGTTGCAGATTTGTCAGTGGCGCTTTTCCGCTGGCGAAAAAGCTCTAACCAACACAGCCATGGACGATGCATCGCCAGAGCGGAAGAGATGGAGGAATGACCGGTGAAAATCATCGGTGCAAGTTGTTTCCGTTACACAGTGGTCAACCGAGGGCGAGTGTCTCGGGCCGGCGGATATAGCAATCGCGGAGTGTTTTTCGCGTTGTTATATTTCGGCGGTACGGTAACGGGTCCCGATGATCGGGTGCACGACAGAGAGACGCGTCCGATCCAGAGAAGAAGAGGGGCAGAGGAGCGGTTTAGTCCGCGCGTATGTGCGGCTGCCAGGCCATTTGCCTCTGCGGTCTCTTGATTCCTAGCGACTAAATTTTCATCTGTACTCATTCAAGTTTTAATGTGTTTTTGCGGCATCAGTCATTCAAACTTAATCAACAACCAGTTACGCGCCGGTCCGCGCGAGGCCGCGCTCGCGCGAGCTCGCCCGGCGTATAACGGCTGTCCGGCTCGCTCTTTCTCTATCCCATTCGTGACGCGGCCACGTTTCCGAACGCGCGTGTTGGTACGTGTGCACGCGCGAACGTGTG